AACTTTCATCAGTGAATACCATCATCCACGTTTCACTTCATAACAACTTTCATCAGTGAATACCATCATCCATGTTTCACTTTACAACAACTTTCATCAGTGAATACCATCATCCATGTTTAACTTTATAACAACTTTAATCAATGAAAACCATCATTCATGTTTCACTTTATGACTATATTTTGTTCAAAATACATCACTCTGAAAACATTTCCTATTGTTCATTAGTATGTCATGATGCTGAGTTGTGACTTATCATTTTTTTTTAGAGACAACATTACCTTCATGTCAGTCACCACTAAAAGCCGACTTTACGACTGATGTGCCTGTCACAGATATAAAATGCTATACATTATATGGTGAAGATATCCGTAATTTCTTTCTTGACAAAGTAGAGGAGGAATTTATTACGCTCTGTAGTTTGGATGTATGGGAATCCAATGTGGAACTCACTTTCCATGTGTCCACCTATGTTACTACTGACACACAAGTAAGATGAATATTTTTGTCATTTTTGGTAAAAAGTGATATTTTCGACTTCTTGTTAAAAACCACAAATCCAATTGCTTTGATATTACATATCTAGGTACTACATGTGGACCTCTCTCAGATTTGTTCATTTTGTATCTTCAATTCTCTAATTTTCATGAATATTTTTGTCATTTTTTGGTAAAAAGTTGTATTTTTGACTTTTTATTGAAAACCGCTAGGCCAAACGCTTCAATACTTGGTATGTAGGTACCTTGGGTGGACTTCTCTCAGATTTGTTAATTTTGTGATGATATCTTTAATTCTCTAATTTTGATGAATATATTTGTCATTTTTGGTAAAAGTGATATTTTTGACTTCTTGTTAAAAATCACAAGTCCAATTGCTTCAATATTACACATCTAGGTACTACATGTGGACCTCTCTCAGATTTGTTCATTTCATGATGATATCTCAAATTCTCTAATTTTCTTGAATATTTTTGTCATAACTATGTTTATTATCACAGGTTGTGGTTGGAGTCAACTTGAAATTTGCCATCAAAGATGAGATAGATCTCGAGTATATAGAGATATGTCAAGACAACCTATCCAATCATATTATGAATGATATAACAGATTTATCTGTCGACCTTGTAAATTCATCATGTCCAGTTCTTGTGATGAGTGACATTGGGTTCTACAAACCCTCAGGTAGCGGTGATTCAGCATGCAAGTGTGACAACGGAGACGCATTTATCAATCAGCGATGCTGTAAGTTTGTTTTGATAGGTCATTGTGTCATAGGAAACGATCGTCCATCTCTGGTGAATAAAATGTGGCCGCATAATTCTTCAAAGAGAACGATTTTGTATACGTAGTTGTCAGAGTATAAACCCCTCCGGGAAAACGGCAAATTTATGAAAAATGGGGGGGGGGGGTCTTATAAATGGATAAAAGTAAAAATTTCTCCAAAGTGATAATTTATGCTAATTTATTCATAAACAAATCGGTGTGTGTGTACACAAGTGTCTATCATCATCTATCAACTTGAGGATCGGCCGTTACGCTAATCACTCTTTAATAGGTGCATTTACTGAATGGAACAGCATTTGACCCTGCATTTCACGTGAATATTGGTCTGTATGTTCTGGGGTAACGAAAGTATATTCTAAACTAAGTTACAAATAAAAACTAACACAACTGCATTGCGTAGCAGCAAATGATCACGGTTGCGCAATCCGGTCATGCTGCGTTTCACAATTGTTGATTATTCCTCAGTAGTGATTATAATAACGTACAAAAAAATAAATTTGTTGAATTGTTATGAAATGTAAATAAAATTCAACTTAGTTTTATCGTAAGCAAATGATTCCGGTTGCATATAAGACCATTTGGCAATGCTGTCGGGTATCCGCCATGTTCTTTCTCTTGCAGAGTTGACCTAATAGGTCAAATCACTAATTAACCAATCAAAAAGATGGATGATGCCAACGTGTTCAAATTACCATAGCTCATATAAATATGTTAATGTTATTGAATGCAATGCGGAAGATCTTTTGGCTTGGATTTTGATGGGAACATGGCATGATTATAATCGGATAAATGAATTGTTGTAAAATGCTGTTAATTTTTTTTTGGGGGGGGGGCTTATACTCAAGCAGGATTTATACTCAGACAACTACAGTACATGAATTTGTCAATACCCCCTATATATAGCCTTACATTGTAATAGTGTCTATTGAGTTTTTAAGCAATACTGTAAAATACTTTATTTTCGCTTGAATTAACTTTTGTTATTTTCTCTGAAAAAATGATTCAGTGAAAATAAAATACCGGTACCTATTTTTTCTATATTTTACATTCAACGGGCCAAAAATCAGTGAAAATAAATTCTATTCAAAACAGCCCAAAAGTGGGTGTGTTTTGAGTGATTGGGTCATCAGTCAGTTTTTGTGTGAGAATAGACGGTTGATTTCTAGCTTACGCAATTTATTTAATGGTTTCTTTGGTAAGTGTTCTGATGAACTATCGAACGTTAAAAATATCATATGTATATGTAACTTCTTTGACCTTTTCAACTTCATTGTCTACTTTTGTTACTTTTCACAAAATGAACTCACATTATTTTCAAAGATCTTATACTAAATATTTAATATAAATTTATATTTTTAAATTAGTAAATTTTGTAAAAAAATAGCTAGGAAATTATAGAAAAATTTGTATAACTTTTTATTTACTGTAGAATACTTTATTTTCGCTTGCAATTTATTTTCGCTATTTTCGCTGAAGGGATGATTCCGTGAAAATACAATCCAGCGAATATACTTTTTTTCCTATATTTCAAATTTAACTCATCAAAAATCAGTGAAAATAAATTCCATGCAAAATGCCCAAAAAGCCTTTTCAGCGAAAATTAATTCCAGCGAAAATAAAGTATTCCACAGTATTATTCAATGTGGTTCTTAGCGTGAGTTATAAAGGGCACTCAAGAATGAAATGGAATTCTTTCTCAATTGCATTTAACGAGCAAAACGTACACGTTCTCTCTTCACTCACTACATCTCACATAAATTATAGAGGCATTTCCATGATCAATTATACTTTAATGGTTTAGTTCATGATAGATGCAATATTTAGGTAATATGCATTTCTATTGAAGATGTGCTTCTAATAGTGAAAATACAGTCATCCTGAAACTGCTATATAGTGTATGGGAATGGGTTCCGGAAACTAAAAAACTTAATATGTGATTGACTTTCATAACATTGGGGTGGGGTGGGGGTGGGGGTGGGGGTAGATGTATAAAATGAGTCTAAATTACCTGCCTCATGCTTTAACCCATAGACCTTAAAAAAAATATTTTTAAGCTTTGTGCTTTACCATATGCTTCTTTCAAGATCTTGTTTTCTTCAGCACAGTACAATTAATTTACACATGTCAACCAACACACGATTTGCTTTGTCTCCTTCCACATTTCTCAGTGTCAAATTTTCTTTTCAGTAACATGCACGCCTGGTACATATGAAAAAAATAATGTGTGTTTAGATTGTCCACTTGGTAAATATCAACCTGAACATGGTAAAAGTACCTGTAGACCTTGTCAAGGTCATCATTCAACCCTCAATGTTGGAACTAAAAATGTTGATAGCTGTATAGGTAAGTGAGTGAAAAATGATTTTTGCTCAAATTGTCACCCATTATGCAATAGTGATTTAAAAGACGTCCATGAGCTGTGATATATGTATTTGTCTTTTTGCACAAAATTGAGTGATCAAACAGTATGACATGTCACAAGTCGAAAAAATTTCACCTAAGTGTGCGTCTATCTTTGATTTAGATTGTATTTAAAATGGTCATCTTGTGGTCATAAAGTTTTAAATATTGAGTTCCAGAGTTACCTGTATATGTCTGACTTAGTTTGACCACAGGGAACCATGGAACAACTGTACACAGTCTATGAGGAGAGGGGGGAGGGCGTGTATCCATGACGATGAGGGTACTGTCAGCTGATCAACTCGTATCTTTGTAAACAGGGTGTGATCTACGGATACAGTGGTGTGTATGACGTAAATAATTGAATGACTTCTTAGTTCTACAGATAAGTTGTTTGAAGATATTTGCTTTATATTTGTTCTTCAGCGAAGCTAACCGTGTCATGAATCGCAGTGGTCTGTAACAAGACTTGTGATTGGTTCTTGACAAATTCTGAACAGGCCATGCCTCCAACTGTGCCATGGCTTGGGGGGGCATTAATTGTTCATAAATGGAGTCAATTTGTGTAGTTTTCTTTCTTAGAATATACTTAAGTAAGGCTTTCACGAAATTTGAAAGAGCAACTAATATCCTTCAAGCTGGTATTTTTTATAGATTTTATTTTTCATTCTTTTCGTCTGTTTTTTCCAGTTTAAAAAATATGGGCTCGCTGGAGCCTTCAACTATTGTCTATTTCTTACAGTAAATACCATTGATTATAGTTCCTTGGTTCCCTGTGATTTTGACCAATCACGTTCATTTTGCTATCCAGTTAATGGCCAAATGGCAGCCATTTTAAAGTTAATAATGTGTCAAAATCTACCATTCCTTTTGTTTTGAAAACCATATATTACACATTTCCCTATGGGAAAAAAATATGCACCACTACCTATTGGCACATGTGGCATAGCCTAAAATGTAAGCCATAACCCTTTGACTCAGATGAGTGAACCAATAATGACTCTTCCCTGGCTCCCTGAGGGTAGTCAAACATGAACCAAAGAAAATTCCTGGATCATGTTTGAATGTGTTGTTAAAAATATGCATAGGAATTATAATTAGGTTGTGGTTTACATTGAGATCACCCATTAAATACGGTAACACACTCATTTCAGATATCAAGGCTGTTGAAATAGTTGAATTTTAATCATGAATATCCAGTTAAAAATGACTGCCTCTGTGTGGCTAATCAGTTTGCACTGATTTATTTATTTATTTATTTATTAACACACAACATCCCCCGGAGGGGATGAAAAGGGTTACAAATCAGATATTAGTAAAAGAAAAATAACCACATAAAAAGTAAGGGAACAAAAAGGCATAAAAAAAAAAAAAAAGATAATAATTTGAATACAAGGAATGTATTACTGGCTTAGTTTATGTAGGTGCTGCTGTAGGTTGCGGCACATGAACCAAAACGTTGTGGTCCACGAGCTGCAACAGTTAGCCAGAAGACAACAAATTTCATAAGAAGTGTTATACATCATATTATTTAAGTTCATAATTAATCAAGAAATTATAGAAAAATGCTCAAAATGTTACCCCAAAATCATTGCATTTAAAGTGTTGAACATGCTGTGCGTATGAAGCAACTGCCGCTTCTCCACCTTGCATACCCATTGTATATACACTGTATGTCGTTAATTGCCATAACAATGTCCTCATACATTTTGTCAATAGGACAAGTACTAATTCAGCAAATTGTCATCGCAAAACATACATACAAACATACCAAAAAAAAAGATCATGAAATTGAATGACTCTTATAATTGAATAATATTTGTACAGTCACATACCCATGTAATACAGAAAACATGTTGTTTACTTTTAACTGGTTGTATTTATTTGTTACAGAATTATGTGAAAAAGGTACATTTTCCAGTACTGGTATGTTGCCATGTAATGTCTGTCCTGTTGATACCTTTGCATCTGGCTTTGGAAACATCGAGTGCCAACCCTGTCCAGAAGGGTTCAACAGTAATGAAGGGTCTTCTGACTGTTTTGGTAAATTTAATATTCTTACCTATTAAATCTCTGTGAAATATGAAATATCGAGAACAATTTAATCATAATCTGAAGAGTGTAATTCAGTGGTGAATTTGAAATATGTATTATTAGATATATTTCTCGTCAACGCAACATTTATCTTTCTATGAGGCTCACACTATATCAAATTTTGGATGCAGCAACACATGTTCAAACATCATAAGAATGTTTAATTACGCTCTATGCGTTTTATGGAACCATGACAACTATGGTGACAAATGTTATAATAATGTTTTATGCATATTACTTTTCAGCCTACTGTGTACCAGGTACATTTTCATCAACTGGTCTTAAACCTTGTTTGCCATGTGTTTTTGATTTCTATCAAAATCTGTCCGGTGCTTCTTCTTGTATTGAATGTGCGGATAATGAGTACACGTTACAAGATGGTGCACAGAGTTCAAATGAATGCATAGGTAAGATAAATATCTTCTCTGAATATTTTTTTATAATTATTGACGAAAAGTCATGGAAAGACTATGATACTATCAAGTGAAAGTAAAGTATTCTTTATATGAAAAATAGATACCGGTATATACAATTTTTATTTTAACCGTGTTTGGCTTTTAAAGTGTAATAACATTAACATTTAAAACATTTCTGATATATGAAAAAAATGAATAATGTACAATAACTATACAAATGAATGTCTTTCATGCATGTTCATTATATGGGCAGTTAGCATAACATGTGGGGTTTTTTCACTGTATCCTGGAAAAAATATATATAACAGTTTGTGGTCATCATGTGTGAATTAAATTTAAGAACAAGTCGGTTTTATTTTCTGTAGTAGATTTTTTAGTTATAGATAATGTATTGTTTATTTTTGTCTGTAATGTATTTTATGTTTTGTCTTTACCATACAGTACTCTCAGATGGTACTTGTTGATTAATTTATTAATTACTATTAATTTTTGGTGAAGACAAATGCATATTTGGTTGCAAGGTGCATATTTCACTGATAGCTAAAGAACCAATTTGAATGTAACTTTGTACGTAGATGCCATTGGACAATACCTGATTAGTTTTTGATGAAATTCATGCATATTAATGACCTGATTTGCATATTAATTAGCCAGTTTTAAGTATTTTAACTTGTTTTTCACGTACTATTCAACCGATTTTAATGAAACGTGGTACATAGATATGGTCACTGTATCATAATTACTGTGTCAAAAATTTCCTTTTAAGCTTCATCTTAGCTTAGTGGCTTAGTGATTTCAAAATGTCAAAAGCACTAAATTTATTGAGTTTTTGTTCTATAGATGCCTGTAGTGATGACCCATGTCTGAACGGTGGTGTTTGTTCAGCAAGTGCTCATTCATGGCATTGTCAATGTCTGGATAATTATTTTGGGTAAGTTACGATGTTACTGTATTAATGCTTTGGGCTGTACAGACTACTTATCTGTTTACCTTGTATTCAAATATGCAAATATGGCATCACAACTTTTTATTCTACTGTCATGATTAAAATACTGATGTAATGATTTTTAAGGTAAAGATGCAGTTTACCTGACAGGTATTTTAATTAGTTAATTAGGAAACCAAGATGACCTCTCTTGTCCACAAAACTATATATTTTCGGAAAGCTTAATGTATGAATTTTAAAATTATGTCATTATTTTAATTTTATGGACACTGTAGTTTGAAATATGCACAAAAATGTGCTTTTTTGGTCAAAAGCGATTTAAAACAAATTAGGTTCTAAACCATGCTTCTGTTTCCTGTCAAAATTGGTTTATGGGTACATCTGTTTCCTATGAAGAAAGTGCCGTCTTGAAAACTGTCTACCAGGTGTCAATTTTGCAGGGCAGCGACTCATATTTCACTACTTCAAGTTTATGCATAAATTAACACCCAGGCTAGTTGTCTGTACGATTGTTGTAACACTGTTCAACCAAAAACAATGCCCTGACGGCGTTTTGAAGATAAACACATTGTCAATCGTTTGTGAAAATTTCAAAACAAAAGTTCAAAGCGTCTAGGAGCTATTTTTTTTTAAAGTTCTGGGATGTGCACTAAAACGAAGCTGAGATAATTGCTAATTTGCATAACAATTCACTCAGTAAGAAGTTTGCTAATGCTCATAATTAAAATGGCTGTTAAGGTTCCAAATTTAAATGTATTATCGTTTTGTTAAAAGTAGAATATAGTGCATAATATGGAGATTCCGTCATTTCTTTTTTTCACCATGTTTTTTTTTTATTAATTATGTACAGCCTTGCTAAATCTTGTTAAGCATTCAAAAAAGAAAATGTTTGCACCTGTTATCTACATTTTAAAATCGTTTTTTGAGTATGTTCAACTATTCACAATTCTACAAAATTTTAACAGTCTTTAGCCAAGACTGTTTGAATAATAAAAAAACAAAAAAACAAAATTTCACTCCCAGGAGCCCAGGAACCTGCATCTCTACCTTAAAGGAGTGAAAAATCATCCAACCTCATTAAAAATTTGGTTATTTAGTCCCCACCGGACATAGTTTGAAACATTTTGGTTGCGTGTGTTGGACAAATATATGCACATAAATTGAACCCTTTCAATAACATCTTTAGTTTCACTTCAAATTTGAGTGGCACATTCAAGTATTAATGTTCATTTCATAATAGACTATTTTCCATTCACTGCAAGATCATATGTTATGTGTGGAATAAATTGTAAAAAACAGAAAAAAACAAAGGTTGTAGTGGCGTTGAAACATTATTTGAAATTCAACAAATGCAAAAGTGTTCTTGGGGTATTTCCATGCTTTAATAATGTGCTTGTCACATTTTATGATGGTCAATTCTGATGAGGGTATCACAGGGGCGAATCTAGGATTCTGGAATAGAAGGGCCGATAAGTTAATTGGCCCAAAGTCAAGTTCGCGAGCGCTGATGGCGCGAAGCTCTTTTGGTTGTTAAAAATAGGGGGGGTCGTGGCCTCCTCTGCCCCCCTCTAAATCCGCCCATGTATCATAATGCCTTTTTTCCCTCTGAATGATCGACTTTTTTTTATATTGAGCTATAACAAAAGAAATTCAAGATCAAAGTCAATTCATTTTATTTTTGTGGCAAACGTTTAGTCCATGCCTTTCTGCAATACGTGAGATCTCACAGTGAACAGAGATCTCCTATTGATTATTTTTGAAACATACAGTACTCTCAAGAAATTTATGAAATTAGAATAAATTGTAAACGCTAGAATACGCATCAATAGGTGTTCTATTGCAGGTGTTTATTATACCAATTCAAAATGAAAGTTTTCCAGTCTAACTTTTGTCTTTGGGCAACCAAATAAAAGAACTTGGTGCCCATTATAATTAAGACAATCATGAAAAATAGTATTGAATATAATAGTTGATTACCTACATTTTTCATTGAACCAAATTCAACATTTTAATATTCTTTTAAGCAGTTGTTTAAAAAGCAAATTCCTATATGAACTTCACTAGTGTTGAAGGTTATAAAACAAAAATTTATCAGAAAACTCTATTTTCATGTTGACAAGCAGATTCTTAGGGTCCTGCTGAATAATCAGTTAATTTTTGTTTATTTCAACCCTGCATTTTTTACCAATTCCATCATTTGAATCTATTTACTGTCATTAAAGAGGAACCGCTCAATCCCTTGGATTGCACCAAAGAATCATGGGACACTATTGTTTATGTTGTTTACAATGTTAATCTATCTTTTGTTATCCATTATTATTTTAATCCAGAAAGTAAATTTGTTGTAAAATTAATCTTAACTGGAAGGTGCCCCTTTAATAAAAATAAAATGAATTTACAGAAAATGTGGAAATGGTGCGCCTATATTGTTTATATTCAAACAGGAGCAAACCTGGTTATAAAATGTCTTTGATCACAAGTTGTCTCTTTCTATCTTATCTTTCAGTGTTGCTTGTGAGAATGTGTTCAGCTGTGACAATAATCCGTGTTTGAATGGTGGTACATGTGAACAAACAGAAGACTCTTATTATTGTATCTGTCAATCAGGATATATTGGAGACAACTGCGAAATTCAGCTGACTCTTTGCGACACTAATCCCTGCTTACTTGGTGGTACATGCTATGAAGCCGATAATGATGATGGATTTGTATGTGAATGTCCACCTGATATTCAGGGACAATTCTGTGAATCTATTATTGATGACTGCCATAGTTATCCTTGTGGTTTCAATGCTCTATGCTTTGATACTGGTTTCCAAGCCGTTGTATGTATGTGTTTTCCAGGCTATTCTGGCGAATTCTGCAACATAAGTATGTGTATTTCTGCATTATCATAATTAAATTATGCCAGTTCATCTGTGTATGATTATCATATAGAGAACTTTAGTTTTTAGCACTCATGCATATTAATTAGTTGTTTTGCATACTGCATGTGCATATCCTATAGAGAACTCCAGTAAATCTTATTTTCGCATTTGTGGATATTGATTAGTTAATTTACATATTATCTACCTTATTATTTTATTCTATCATCGTTATTACCTCTCACTTGGGTATATCTGCATGTAAATATTCTGTGGTGAACTCCAGTATATCTTATTTTAGCATTTGTGCATATTAATTAGAAAATTTGCATATTATCTACCTTATTATTTTATTCTATCATCGTTATTACCTCTCACTTGGGTATATCTGCATGTAAATATTCTGTGGTGAACTCCAGTATATCTTATTTTAGCATTTGTGCATATTAATTAGAAAATTTGCATATTATCTACCTTATTATTTTATTCTATCATCGTTATTACCTCTCACTTGGGTATATCTGCATGTAAATATTCTGTGGAGAACAGCAGTAAACCTTATTTTAGCATTTGTGCATATTAATTAGATAATTTGCATATTATCAAGCTGACTGTTTTATAATACAGATAACTGTCATCCTGATCCGTGTGAGAATAATGTAACATATTTGAGCATTTGTGGATATTGATTAGCTAACTTGCATATCATCTACCTGATTATTTTATTCTATCATCGTTACTACCTCATATCTTCATGTAAATATTCTGTGGAGAACTTATTTTAGCATTTGTGCATATTAATTAGCTAATTTGCATGTTATCTTGCTTTATATTACAGATAACTGTCATTCAGATCCGTGTGAGAATGGTGCAACATGTGTCCCATCATCTGCTGGGTTTACCTGTACTTGTACTGCAGGTTTTACCGGTGACTTATGTGATAGCAGCATTAATGATTGCGTCATTGGTGTCTGTCAGAATGGAGGCACATGTCATGATGGAGACAATGAATTCACATGTGATTGCCCAATTGGATATACAGGTACTGTTATGAGTGCAGTTATATGTGTTGTAACTTTGTGTTTTGGTTCTGCTTGTTTTAAATATTTATCACTACCTATTCCAACCACCAAAGTGCCTGCTCAAAAAGTCAAGGCCTTCCTGCTGCTTTTTTGCTCACCAGTGAAGTTTTTTGAGAAACCTGTCCTAATATCTTTAAAAAGTCACTATTTTTTGTAGTAGATTTTTGAAATAAAAATACCCCATCATTAACAATATATGATTTTTTCAGCTATTAATGTAATTTAAAATATGACATAATTTCTCTGCCATAGGAAGCTATTGTGAAACCATCATTTTCTCAGAAATTAGGCTGGTGACCCCCAACTTTTTTAAGTCAATATCCTTATATTGCCCAAGAGTACAATTGCAGTATGAATAAATTCTGGATACTTTATTTTAGCTGGAATAAATTTTCGAGTGTTTTGTATGGAGAATTCTCCTGATTTTGGATGAGTTGAATGTAAAACATAGAAAACAAGGTACCAGTATATTTGCTGGATTTTATTTTAAATGAATCATCCCTTCAGCGAAAAAGCGAAAATAAATTACAAGTGAAAATTAAGTATTTTACAGTATTTTTTATTTATGAGTAGGCTTCAATCTTAAAGCGCGGTGGTCGACGCGCAGCACGTGTTTGAATTTCATGTAAATAAACAATGTATTTTACACGCGTTGTATATGTCGCTATGAGTCCCATATCGAACAGGACGCGGCACGACGACTGCCGCCCTTTAATATAGATCTACCTCATTTCATTTGATGGAACTATAACCAAATGTTGCACTAAATATATCGTAACAACTTCATAGAGTCTTTTATTACTGTAATGATATTTTGTGAATAACACTAATGATCTTCTTTTATTGTATTAGGAGAAACGTGTGAAGAAATGGATACCAAGCCATGTGATCCTAATCCGTGTTTGAATTCTGGTGAATGTAATGAGTTGGAAAGTCCCTTTGATTGCCAATGTGCTGGTTTTCAATGTCTGTGCACATCAGCGTATACAGGCACACTGTGTGAAGTAAGTAGAGACAACAAATCAAATAGTTTGGTTTGCTTGTTTAAATCAGAGTACCATATGCTACCCGCATCACCAGACACACTGGGTGACCAATACATGTATCTGTGTAGCTAAGTCCTTCCAAAAAATTAGATCTGTTTCTGATTAACTTGCACTTGGTGAAATGTGCCTGCTGTTGGTGGCGTAATATCTTGTTCATGGATGTGCAGTTCAAACATCTTTTTTCGCCTAAGCATACATTGTTTTTGTATAGTACCGATAGTTTTAGCCAAGTTATAGACAGAGTTACTCATTTTTTTTAGCTCTGCTGTCGACTTTGTCGAGCGCGGAGCTTATTATATGAGTGATTGTTCGTTGTTCGTGTCAATGTTTTACTTATTCGACTTCTTCTTGAAAACTATAAGCCTAAATGCTTTGATACTTGGTGTATATGTACCTTGGGTAGACCTCTCTTAGATTTGTTCATTTCATGATGATATCTTCAATTCTCTAATTTTGGTCCAATTGCTTTGATATTACATATATAAGTACTACATGTGGACCTCTCACAGATTTGTTCATTTTGTAATGATATCTTTAGTTCTCTAATTTTGGTGAATATTTTTAGCTCTGCTGTCGATGCTGTTCATATTACTGATTGTCCTTCGTTGTCTTCAACTTTACAATTTCAACTTCTTCTTCAAAACCGCAAGTCAGAATGTTTTCAAATTTGATATGCAAGTACCTTGAATGGTTCTTTCTCAGATTTGTTCATTTCATTTCAAAATCTCAAATTCTCTATTTTTGGTAAAAAGTGATATTTTCGACTTCTTGTTAAAAACCATAAGTCTGATTGCTTTGATATTGCATATATAGGTACTACATTTGGACCTCTCTCAGATTTGTTCATTTTGTGATGATATCTTTAATTCTCTCAGAATATCATGGACCGATTTTCATCAAACTTGGTACATGGTTGATACATGATGGTATACATATGCCCCAGATTTGTTTTTCTGTTCAGATGCAAAATGGCCGACTGATGACCATACTTGACCTCAAAATAGCCTAAAAACCTACATTTTTAGCTCCGCTGTCGACTTTGTCAATTGCTTTGATATTACATATATAGATACTACATGTGGACCTCTCTCAGATTTGTTCATTTTGTAATGATATCTTCAATTCTCTAATTTTGGTGAATATTTTTGTAATTTTTGGTAAAAAGTGATATTTTCAACTTCTTGTTAAAAACCGCAAGTCCAATTGCTTTGATATTACATATATAGGTACTACATGTGGACCTATCTCAGATTTGATCATTTTGTAATGATATCTTTAATTCTCTAATTTTGGTGAATATTTTTGTCATTTTTGGTAAAAAGTGATATTTTTGACTTCTTGTTAAAAACCGCAAGTCCAATTGCTTTGATATATTATACATATACATATACATGTAGGTACTACATGTGGGCCTCTCTCAGATTTGTTCATTTTCTATACTATACATATTGTTCATTTTCTAATGATATCTTCTGTTCTTTAATTGCCATGTGCATTGCTAACAGCGGAGCTATCTCAGCCGACAGGCTGCTTGTATGAAATGCACTTATTTTGACATACTAAGCTGATTTGTTAAAAACTTGGTATGATTTTATATGTTGGGTTCCTAAAGTGTGTCCTGTTTTTTTGCATTTCTCAAAATGACTGGGTGGCCATTTTGTTTCATGGTTTTGTTTTGGTTTTGAATATCTGAACTAATTTCTCAAGCATGCTTTGACAAATTTGGTTTAAACTTGATAAATGGACATAATCAAAAAGAAGCATTATAAATACTGATATTTATTAAAATACAAGTAGAGGGCTGTGACATTCATTCTCAATGGCTTGTTCATCTGAAACTCAATGACCATGCTTTTCATTAAATCAGAGTAATATGTTTTTTCTATAAATTTTCAGATTGAGGTTGATGAATGCTCCACCAATCCATGTAATAACGGTGGCACATGCACTGACTTAGTGGGTGCCTTTCAGTGTATTTGTCCTGATCAGTTTGTGGGGGATACATGTAATGAGTTGTATGATCATTGCGCTGAACAACCAGAAGCTTGTATGAATGGCGCTACCTGTACTAATATCATTGGAACACTGGAATGCAGGTCAGTTTCACCATTGATATTAAATTTACCCTTTAACCTTTCAAATGTCTAAGTCAATTGTCAACTTTTTCAAAACTTTAAGACATTTGAAAATTCCACAACCAATACTATAAGATTATCATGGGAATGCCTATGCCGAAAGGTAGTAATCTTATTGGCCAACATGTAGTGGAAGTCTATGCATTCCTTTTATTACATGTACTTCGTGGTATTCTTGTGATGATTTTTTAGTTAATGGTAAATTCTATTGTTTTCACTGCAAGATGTGCAATAATGGTTCTCAACCCTTTGAGTGTTATAATCCTTTCTTGATGCCAAATTTTGTCAAATTTTAAGTAGTTTACCTAATTTTTTTTTTTTACTTTTTGACCATTGTATAATTCCCTATTGGCTACAGATCTTGATTGAAATTTAAAAAAAAAACATTGAACAAATCAATTTATTTTATTTTATGAAAAGTGACAGAAGTCGACTTTGGTGCTGAAAGGACTAACAACAACAATCCCTGTAGTATCATCAATTTTTTCTTCTGTTTTCGATGTACTCAATTTTCGCTGCTTGGATTTTGTATGATATGATGATTTGATGGCATTCGTGAAAAACAAATTTAATGGAAGTTGCATGACCGACTAGTCATAGTTTTTACTGTTACAAAATTTCAAAATTTTGCTGACTCGCGAAATTTGCAACAATTTGTTTCTTTGATATTAAAGCGCGGTGGTCGTTGCGTGTTCAAATTTCATGTAAATAAACAATGTATTTTACACGAGTCCCATATCAAACAAGACGCTGCACGATGACTGCCATTCTTTAAAGCAGTTACATTTTCCATGTTTATTGGTGTGGATCTAATTATTCTTTCAGTTGTACTAGTGGCTGGACTGGCAGTGATTGCAATGTTAGTATAGATGATTGTATTGGTACTCCTTGTTATAATGGCGGCACTTGTCTTGATGGACATAACTCATTTACATGTCACTGCCCAACAGGTAAGGCAAATCATAGACCGTACCATGCCCTCACCAACATATACTGTAAAATACTTTATTTTAGCTGGAATTAATTAATGATTGGGAATTTTGTATGGAATTTTATTTTCACTGATTTATGACAAGTTGAAGATGAAATATAGGAAAAAAGGTATATTCGCTGGAATTTATTTCCACTGAACCATTCCTTAAGCGAAAATTTATTCCAAGCGATGAGTAATTTATCTGCAGAATATGAATTTGAATTCATGTTTGATTTGTAATCTGTAGACACTCACTGAGTTAGGGGGTCCTATTTCTCCCAGGGATAAGAACCTCCAGCACTCCCAAAATGAAATGTGTAGAAAGGACTAAGCAGAATATCTACATGTGTAGCTAGAAACCACATATTCTAATACAGATTTTACATTATAATCTCTGTTGTTTCTAGGTTTTGATGGATTAATGTGTGACTCTGATATTAATGAATGTGATTCATTGCTTGATACATGTAAGAATGGTGCCACATGTACTAATTCAGTTGGGAGCTACCAGTGTTTGTGTCTTGATGGTTATGAAGGAGTCAACTGTGAGACGAATACAGACGACTGTGTTGATGCATGCCAGAATGATGCAACCTGCACAGATGGTATAAACCAGTATACTTGTACATGTAGTGCATTCTATGAAGGAATCAATTGTGAAAAAGGTAATATTCATCATGAGAGAAAAATGATATAATTGGATTAAAGCAAAATCATTCAAACAGTATTTGATTGTGTTGACATGAGAATATACTTATTGTTTTTAGTGACAACAAGAGATACAAGCAAATAATCTGAACACTGTGAATGACGTTTTTTTCACTCATTTACGTATCTCGTTGACTGTCTTTTTTTTTCCTCGATATGTTTTGATCTATAAAATTAATTTGAAAGAAAAGTTGTCAGTGCTGAAACACAAATACACTCATTATGTGGAAATCTGTTACTCTATGTGATGAGGATGGCTGGCTTATTTAACATACTATATAACATGTCTTTTAAGATAGCATGCTAATTTAGTTAATCTGCGAGTTATGTGTTAAGCTCGAAATCATTACTCTGCGCCACCAGAACGTGTTTCCCAAAATAAGCGCTGTGCGCAACCTATTTGCGCCCCTCTTTCTGCGCCTTATTCCGCACCATCTAAAAAATGATACTGTGGCACATTCTGGCATCAAAATGAAGTTACAGCAATGATTTTCAAGCCTGTTTATCAATGTCATCGGGTAATGTGAAATACTGCAAGTTATAACATTTGTAGGGGCAGCGAAAAGTACAAAACTTGGAAACAAACAAATTATTCTGCGCTCTTCATTGGAGTACAAACTTATTTTTGTTTTCAAGGACGCAATCTAGGTCAATCTGTAATTTTGCTAATTCAAGATGTAGCTAATTCTCAAGCAATTATATATATTCTCACAATGTGATTGTTGACACTAATGACATATAGTCATTTCAAAGTGATGATATATATAAGCATATATTTTCCATGCTTGTGATGTACTGTTAATACCATGTGGCTGGTATATGTGCTCACATTGTAGTTTGAACGCTGGAACAGTGACCTTTGCCTGTCACATCTTACACTAATCCATAAAATATACTTATAATTCTAGCTATGAGTACAATTTTGATTATTCATCTCTGCCTCTTTCATTGTACATCTTAGAAAAATCAGAAGAATTTGATTTATACCTATGTGTGGATGACAACAGTGCTATGGCAAAGACGCAAGCAGTACAATTTAACGTGATGGAGTTTACCGCTGTATTCTGGATTCGATATGCCTTTGCTATGGGTGGAGGTCAACCATTTCAATTACTTACATCTGAAGACGGGTATAAATTTTCATTATCATATGACATAATTCCTGTAATCAAATATAATATTGTTACAAGACAAGAAACAGTAGACTATTGCTAGCATGTACCGTATAACATAAATTTTTGTTTTATAATAAGAATTTTGTGGTTCACCAAATGTTCAACTTTTGAATTGCATTTATAAAGCCAGTACCGAAAAATCTGTATTAGAAGCTGCATCCCTAATAGAGATTTCACCCATTCTTTTCGAACAATTGAAAACCGAAAAGTCTCTCCCTCATATGTGTAAATGCTTTAAAATAGGAGCCACACTCCCTCTGTTGCATTGTACCATTTTAATAGTAGCTGCACACAGCTTCTAATACAGATTTTACAGTAACTTTTGCGAATATAACTAAAGGCAGCCATATTAAATAATTTTTATATTTGTTTCTATATTTCTAAAACTTTAATCAAATCCCGTAGCCAGTGGCTTTATTATGTCCATTTGGAGGTATTTGAAAAAGTGTGAATTTACACTATCAAGAAATCTGGAAAATACAACTCAAATTTTTGTTAGAAATTAACAAAGAAAGAAATGCATACAAAAGTGATAAATGTTTTACCCATATTTTGTTGTTGTAATAAAATGCTTGCATTAAATGAAGTAAGGCTGGATGTGACAAAACAAAATTTGACCATTTGATACAAAAACATATGTAGAGTGATCTGGTAGAGTGAAAATAAAGCTACATTTATATATTTATAGATCCAACTTTGATGTGTTTGTTGAATTGCCGTCATCGGATAATTTCAACATTCTACAAGACACACTGTGGCATCATGTAGCAATAAGATGGTACAGTCTTAGCAATAGTGCAGAGTGGTACATTGATGGTTCATTGCTAAGCCAGTCTAGTTTGAGTATTAACGCTGGCAATCCAACCCCAGCCTGGTAAGTTCACATTTTCATCTTTCATAAGTTTGATTAATTTTATAAATAGAATCTGTGAAAGTACAAGTTTAGAAAAATTAAATGTTAAGGGCGCCCTCTAGTGGCAAAATGTAAATACATTTTGTTTTCAAATCATCATGCACTTGTTTTTTAATTCTTATGGTAATATTGGAATAAAAATTGTACTTTCCTTTTGACTTTTTTTGAAAATTTGTTTTTCAATATTTCTGACAAGAACTTGAGAATGAAGCTGTGACAGAACATTTTTAACAGATGTACATGAAACTTTATTTTTTGTTTTGTGGGCTTATTTGTAATTTTTCTGAAACGTGCCATACTTACTTGGTGATATATTCAACAGTAATATTAGAAAATTCAACATACTATATGGTTCAGAGGTGTGGTTCATTTATCATTCAAATTTCAAATTTAATTGATGTCACATGACCACTATCTGCATACTGATTTGACTACTAGTAGCTCCCCTTTGAATCACTCCTGCAGTACATTTGCTTATTGTAGGGCAAATATTCAGCAGTACTGTCACTGCCATACTGTTTCAAACAGGAACAGTGTTAGCTGGTTTGCAATGCAAGTCTCAAGATCCTTACATCATTAGAACTGGTTAGGGCAAACCATTTTCTGTAGGTGCATCGTTCGGCTAAATGTGCACATTTACTAGCATTAATTATGCCGACTTGGTATGCCGCACACTAGACACTCCAGTGTCTGCATCCAGATATCAGGGGAGACTGAGTACATACATTTTGTTAATTTGCTTGGATAACATTGCTATTTCCATACAGCAATTCATTGATATGATTGAATGATATGAATTGAATGGTAATTGCACCTTCTATTTATATTCAGTGCTTCTAAGTCCCTCACTATTAGTTTGAGATCTTCTGTTGAGTTCAGTTTGACCCAACTTGGTTCTATCCCATAATGTAATCAAGACACATAGCATTCTAGTCATTAACTTTGCTGGCAATGTTGCTGTTTTGGTGTTTGACACAATGTGACAATAACAGTAATAATTGGATATATAATTACGGTAACCCCACAATATTTTCTCTATTTTTACGCTATCATGACGGTATGCTTATGTCAACTGTACACTTATCATATTAAAAAAACTGGAGTGTAAGAATTGGAATTAACTAAAATTAACTAAAATAACATCGATTACAAATATATCGTTATACACTCATACTATGCTAGTTTTGATAAAGCAATGGTGTTTGATTTCATGCTCCAACTTTGTTGATTTGTTTTTTAGGTTGAGCTTAGTGATTGGACAGTCTTCTGAGTTAGCTGATAGTACCCAAGCATTTCATGGTGAAATCAGTCAGTTTTATGTTTACAATACAGCCTGGGAAACATCAGAAATATTGGATGCGTCTTCTAACTGTGATACCTTTGTTAGTACTGGGCAACTTATACGATGGTTGTATGTTTTATCTGAAATGGTGGGTTGTGTTCATGAGGTACGCCCAATGTTATGTGGTGAAAATGATTACTGTCCATCTGTAGAATTCTACCAAGGACTTGCATGTCCTTTAGATACCACTGGTAAGTATTGGTTGTGTTCATGAGGTATGCCTAGTGTTATGTGGTGAATGTCCATCTGTAGAATTCTACCAAGAACTTGCATGTTCTTTGAATACCACTGGTAAGTATTGGTTGTGTTCATGAGGTATGCCTAGTGTTATGTGGTGAATGTCCATCTGTAGAATTCTACCAAGGACTTGCATGTTCTGT